CATCCCCCCAGAGGGAGCGAAGGGAGGTCCCGGCTTCCCTCCTGAACCTGCGACCTTCCCAACCCCACTTTGGATAAGTGAAATCAAATAGGTGGATGGATTGCAGCAAGACTATTAAAGAGGTCCTTTACTGAGAAACCATGTTTTACATATTATTTCTGATTCTAACGGGTCACTCTGAGTTTTTCATGCAGGCTGAATATGAAAATAGTCTCCTACACCTATCTCCTGCATTATCTTCTGATAGAAAACAGACGGTGAAACTCTAGGATTAGAAAATCCTGACAGATCTACATCACACTGTCACTAACATTCATGGACTCATCTTGACCCACGACGGGGAAGGCTGTTGTTGGTTTAGCGTCCAGGAAACAACGGAAAACGTCTCAGCTAGTAGAAGCAAACTGTTAGCAATGGCAAATCCACCACACAGCAGAGCTCCTCCAAGCTTGTGTTATTATTGAAGATAAAACATCAACAGTGGCGAGCAAACAGAGGCCTAGTCCACACGTAGCCGGGGTTTTTTAAAAACGAATATCCGCCCCTCCAAAAACTTGCATCCACACCACCGCGTTTTAAAAACAAACTCTGTCCACACGTACCCGGATAAATACGTTGTTAAGGACATGCCAGACCTGTAGGTGGCAGTACTTCCCCCGTTCTTAACGTCGTCCTTCGTCTGTGGTCTTCCGCAAGGAGCAGTAATTCCGCTTGCAAAAGCAAACAAGCAAAAAGCGCTTGGACAATTGATAAAGCGAGCGCAGCTCTGAAGGCTTCCATGATGTCGGCTAGTGTAAACACAGGTCGCACACGTGATGTCAGCATTTTTTTGTCGTGGAAAGTGACGTTGTGGACCTTAAAACTCCGGTTTTGTCCGTCCACACGCAGACACCCAAAACGGAGAAAACTCAGATCTTCACTTTGGCCGGAGTTTTTAAAAAGATCCGTTTTCGTGTGAAAAAACTCCGTTTTCGTGTGGATGACAGGCCAAAACGTAGAAAAATATCTACGTTTTGGCAGATCCCCGGCTACGTGTGGACAGGGCCAGAGTCAGGGGTAGAGTTGTGTTGCTGTTTGCAACTCCAAATTCTGTCGCACACCGGAGCTTTTTTTCCTGTCGAGTCTGGCCTAAAAGGCCTTCATTCCTACTAGAGACCACTTCAAATGTGTTAAAACAAGAGCGAATGACCTCTTTGACGAGCTTCTGAAGCTCAAACAAAAGCACTTGTGCAGAAATGTTTCAGCGTTGGAACATTTCCAACGTTGTCCAGCAAGCTCCTGGATATTAGTTATGAATTATGGAACATTATAATGAAACATCACATCTCCTCGGGTGGCGAAGCGATTTGGGTCTGGTTGTTTCTCTCACCTTCCATGTTATAAACCTGCAAGGCAAAAACAAGGCAGTTAGATGGAAAGAGCATTTGGTTTTCTCACACGTTAAAAACAAAATACGATACAACGATACCGCTCAAAAATACTCTGAAGCTGTAACAGTTAACAGGACGAATAAAGTTCTATCAAACTGCAGCACCTTCTTCTGATTGCTGCTCTTGTCAGTCTTCTGCGAGTTGAGCTGGATGCGGATTCTCCTTATTTTTTTCTTGTTGGACATTGATGATAATTCCTGAAAAAGAGAGTTAAATCAGTTCTCTTACCACATTCAAACGCTAACAATCACTCACTTCGCTGACATGATGAATTGTACATTTCAGCAGTTGTGCAATAAGATGACTGATGATTCTCGTTTGGTAGAATCACGTTTTGTGATATGTGCATGTAAACAAGAGCTTTTATGGAAAGTCGAATTTAGCTTTTTTTATAGAGGAATTTTCTTGCACATGTGGATGTAAGGGGAAAAAATCAGACTAGTGATTTCTCTTGGCGTTCAGTTTATAAATTCAAACAGTACAGCACTCTATTTAAAGAGCAAGTCACCCCCTACCAGATTCTTACTCAACTCCCACTTCCTGTTTGAAAATTGCAACAAATGCTGTTGCCTAACAGGACGAGAGGGCGGAGCCGCTAATAAATACACACACTCACGACATTGTGATATCATGATGTACCAGATAACATCATAGTGTACCTCTTAGCCAATAGCAATGGCAGATTTTAATTCAAATGCAGAGCTGAGTTTTTACCTGACGACGGTGCATCATTGACAGTTTTAGGCAGAATATTTCAATTTTACCTAAGATGCACTAAAGTGCTGAATTATTGACTGCATTTGTCTACAGCACAATCAGCAGTGATGGGAATAACGCCGTTTAAAATAACGGCGTTTTTTTTTTGGGGGGGGGGGGGGGGGGGGGTAACGGAATAATATAATGAATTACTTTTCCCACTGTTGCAACGCCGTTACCGTCACTGGGGACGGAAGGTTGTGCGTTACTATGTGCTTGTCGAACATTGAGCAGCAGTGTGAGGCTTTCTGACCGCCACACTTCAGCTGCAGCCAGGGAGAGAGAGGTGACGGTAACGCGCTGATGATTGGCCGGAGACCCTCACTGTCTCAGTCACTGCCTGTTGTAGACCCAACAGAGCAGTGATGGGAATAACGCTGTTTAAAATAACCACATTAATAAAAAAATATGTATTTCAGTAACAAGCAATCTAATTAATTACGTCTTCTTGTATCATAACATTGTTTCTGTTACTGATAAGGAAATGCGTGCGTTAAGCAGCGCGGTGTGTTGAAGCTGTCATCAGCTGATCAGGAGCTAAAGAGGTAGACGTTTTCATCCAAACATGGACGTAATTTTCACTTTAGAAGTGGGGGGGACACGGGGGAGGGAGGAGGGGGGAGGGGTATCTTTATGGTATGCTCTAATGGGAAACAGGCTTCAACACAAACGGTTGTTTTCTGCTTGGTCCTAGAGCTCATCCAGTGTTAATTTAATATAGCGTAATATTGTTTTGGATGGTAAAAAGTGCAGTGGTCAAAACTTGACTTTGGAAAAAGTGGGGGGGACATGTCCCCACTGTCTCCCCCCCAAAATTACGTCCATGCATCCAAACACATCACGGCCCGTGAAGAACGAGGAAGACGTGATGAATATCTGAGGCTGCAGGTGTGGATCTGCAGCCGTGCCCTTCTTAGCGTGACAGCGGGAAGTCCCGAAGGTCCGCTCACCTGTTCACTGCTCAGACGTCCTGATCTTCTGCCTCCCTAGATCATCCAGCTGTAACCTGGTTCTGATCATGTCTTTAGTCCCGCTGTAACACTGGTGCATCAGTCTCAGACGTCATGGAGCTCAGGTGTAATTAGAACTGCCTGTGTGTGTTTACCACCCAGCTTCAGCTCTTCTGTGGTTGGGTCTGACCCACGTTAGTACATTTAAGTCCTCCATCAGGCTTGTGCCTCTTCTAGTGTCATTTTAAAGGATTTTATTTATTTATTTAACCATTACTAGATTACCAACAACAGAAATGCTGCTAAAAACACACAATTATGTGAAGCTAGAAAAATTTAAATATTGTACAAAATTACATTTATTTCTGTACTTTAACTAGACTGAGAGACCATTTAAAGGCTCGGGAACCTTTACAGGTGTTTTCATTTGCAATTTTAAATGTTAGCTGATTGGGGTCTTGTTAAATATCACACAGTGACCTTTTAATAGTCTAGATTAGTGTAATGTTCCTGTTAGTAGTTCCTCCTGTTAAGTGCTTATTTATTTAAATTATTCAGGTTTATAAAACAATTTTGACATACATTTTATTATGTTACAGTCATTAGTCATTTATATTTCACTATTGTAGTAATTTATAGTAAATTAAGTAAGTTCAATTAACCCATTTTTCTTGCATTCTTTAATGAAAAAGTAACCAAGTAGTTATTTTTCTTGGTAATTATTTGCTTTTATAATCTCATAACTAAGTTAGTAACTGAGTTACTTTTTTGACAACGTAATTAGTAATGATGACTAATTACTTTTTAAAGTAATTTTCCCAACACTGACAATCAAACACTCATTTTTATAGTTTATCAGCAAAAAAAGGTTGATTTGGGGCGACTTGCTCTTTAAACTTCTTACATGTAAATCTATGTTATTTGTGTTTTTGTTTAATTAGTTTTATGGGTTTGTGCTGAAATGTACAAATGATGACTTCATCTGTTAACAGAAAAATTAATTTAAAGAAGGCTTTTATGAGCTCTTAGCGATGCTCCGCAGTAGGACGAGGGAAAATTAACAAGGAAAGTATAAATGTCAGGGTATCTCAAATCCGGTATGAGGTCCGCTCCGACAGCTTCTGGCATTTTAAAAAGTATCCCAGGGGCACGGTAAGGGTCGGAAATGTTAAGGTCTATTCAATTTCTGACTATATAAAACGAGTTCTTCGGTTTTAAAGTGTGAAGTAAACTCTGACGGAGTAAAATCCAAGCCGATCCCGTTCATTTTGCAGCCAACATGGCGTCTCTGAGAGTCACGTGATGTCCGGAGCTCCATATGATCAGGATTTCAAAACTCTTCTTCCTGCTGCCTGCAGCATCCGACTGCATGTGCAGCTCATTTGAAAGGTAGAGATTGGGTGTGGGACAGACTCAGAATGAATTATCCTTTTCTTTTACAGCTGGGTAGTTTAAAATTCCAAAATAACTTGTAAATATTTAAGTGTGACTATCTGACCTGTTCTGTCATTAAAAGTAGAAATTTTCCTTTATAATTTATATTTTCCCCAAGCCCCTCCCCTGGTCTCTACAGCTAAACCAGGGGTGGGGAACCCTGGTCCATCGAGGGCCGCTATCGAGCATATTTTTGTTTCCACCCTGCTCCAACACATCTGATTACAATCAGCAGATGATTAACAGGCTTCTGCAGAGCCTGATGAGCTGCTGCACAGGTGAATCAACCACTGAATCAGAAGTGTTGGAGCAAAGACGTGCAGGATACCGGCCCTCGAGGAGCAGAGTTCCCCACGCCTGAGCTAAACCATTCATTTGCGTGAGTCTAGAGCATTGACTAATATAATTGCACATCTACAAGAAGAAGGAGCCTACGGGTGTTTCTCCATGTCAAGGCGCCTGGCTTAGGTGGACACTGTCCTTCCTTGGTCAAAGAAAACAGTTAAAATGTTAAACTCTAGTCCTCGAGGGCCGGTATCCTGCATCTTTTTGTTGTTTCCCTGTTCCAACACAGTTTATTCACCTGTGCAGCAGCTCAACAACCTCTCCAGAAGCCTGTTAATCACCTGCTGATTGAAATCAGGTGTGCTGAAAAAGGGAAAACAGGAAAACACGTGGGATAGCGGCCCTCGAGGACCGGAGTTTACCTGTGAAGAGGAACAGATTTACATCACATGACTGGGAGCCGCACACGTCACATGACACGCGCATAAAGTTATATTTAATACTTCTAAGTTTCAATATAGATGCATAACGAGCCTTTTACTTGTTAAAGAGCAAGTCACCCCCTACCAGAGTATTACTTCACTCCACTTCCTGTTTGAAATATGCAACAAATGCTGTTGCCCAGCAGGATGAGAGGGCGGAGCTGCTAACAAATACACACACACACACACACACACACACACACACACACAGGCTCACAATGACATTGTGACATCATATCGCACCAGCTGAAGCCTGAGTCATGCTTCTCCGTCTGCTCCAAAATGAAGAGGCACGCACGGACGGACGGAGACATTTTGCCCTCATACTTCTCCGTCTCCTGGGGAGTGTTGCAAAGCAATTCCCCGCCAGGACAACAGAGGGCGTAGCGCTGTTCTGTGGTATCCTGTCATGTATCCGGTCCGGGATAGTGTGTTTATATTATGTGGGGTTTTTTTGTGTATAAGAGACTTTTAAACAAATTTGTCTCTCATCCTCCTCCACCTCTTCATGCGCTCGCCACCTCTAAACCCACGTTTCCTGTCGTTTCCGTCCACAAATAAAACGCTTGCTGCAGATCTTTTCACTCCTCCAGTCACGGGGAATTAAACGTTCATGTTTTTAGAGTTTTTTCGCGAGGTATTCTTCAAGCTTCATTGTGTCTGCCGCTAGTTATCCTCGGCTCTCTTTATGTTTTTGAGGGCGCAATGGCGGCGGTGTAGATGACAGCGGTGCCCTGACCAATCACAAGCTTGCGTTCTCCGTCTCGCCGGACGGATGTTTAGAAAAAAGAGCTCGACTCTGTCCGTCCTTGCGGGGGCTCTCCAGCAGGCCCGCAAGGACGGATAATGGCGTTGCCTGTCTCCGCACTGACGCAGAAGCATGACTCAGGCTTAACGTTCTAGGGTACCTCTTAGCCAACAGCGATGGCAGATTTAAATTCAACTGCAGTGCAGAGTTTTTACCTGACAACGGCACAACACTGACAGTTTTAGGCAGAAAATTTAATTTTTACTAAAATGCACTAAAGTGAAAAAACTATTGAGTACACATGTCTGCAGCACGATTAGACACGCATTTATGTAGTTTATCAGAAAAAATAAGTTGATTTGGGGGTGACTTGCTCTTTAAATGATCTACATAGGTTCCTTGACATCGAGAAACACCCTACGTCCTCTTCTAGTTAGCTCATGGGTCCCTGAGTTATATTCTTGTCAGCTTTGCCGCTCTGAACCATACTGTACATACATTGTACTTCAATTTAAATGGTGGATGATTATGCTTCAACTATGTCTGACACTTACTTTCAGATTTATTAACGCTTGTAATTAAAATAAGTCAGACGCCTCATTGGGATGTCACTGCAGAGCCTCTTCTCCCCCAGCGTAGCTGCTTTGCACACGGCCAGATCTACGGTGGTTTTCTCCACGTTTAATGCTCCTTCTTTCATCCTGGAAGAAGGATGTGAAGCTCGACTAAAGTCACAGCCATTTTTTCCTCTGTGTCCGGTTCGATGACGTCAATATATTGAGACACGTCGGTAGTCCTACACGACTTTTCACACAAATCCTAACGTAACCTTTGTTGTCTGTCAAAAATAAGCACTTTCTTGGCATTAAAATGTGTCTTTAAAATTCACGAGCATCCTCTGTTAAACCCATGGCGCGTATCAAACGGGATCAGAAAAAAACTTTGATCGCTCCGCAGACTCTCATTTGGGGAATAGATGGGCGTGTCCTGGGCTCCACATAACCGTTAAAATTTCTAACTCTCCTCCTCTTCCTCTCCTTGATGACATCATACTGCAGACCACAGCTTTAATGACATTTGAGAATATCAGAAGAAACATTTTAAGAATTTTGCTTTTTTTCTTTTCCTTCAAACCTCTAAAGGTATGCAGTTCAGTCGAAGACACACGGCATCGATCTTCTGCTCAGCAGCGGACAACAGAGCTTGGGGCTCCTTCAGAGCAGCCCTCAGGTCTTCCACACGGTGCACTTCCTTATTCAGCTCCATCATTCCCTCTTCCGTGACATTGTCGGAACTTGACACAAACAAAGACAGTTTAATTCAGACACTGAACCATACCACAGCCGTCCCTCATGACCCACAAATCCCAGTACGGGAATCTTGGGAGAAATTATTTCCATAAATGGATTTTAAAGGAGAGATGTTATAATTTTTTTATGAAGTTAGGGTTAAGGTTAGTTCCATGATGGATACAAAATGTTCGTGAAGTTATTTGCACTAAATCCTATAAAACGATTCAGCAGTTTTTGTCACGACTCCCAGGCTGACACCCTCCTCTGCCTCTGCTGCCTCCTCAATCAAGCCCTCAGCCACTCATTTACCATCACCTGCACCGTGTCATCAGCTCATCACAAACACCTGCTTCCACGGCTATATATTCACCAGCCAGCCACCAGTTCCCTGCCAGATTATTGAATGCTCTTTGCCCGTAGATCTTCCAACCTTTCACCTTGCCTGATCACAGCCTCCAGACCTCGTTTTCACACCTGACCCCTGCCTAGGACTCTGCCTGCCATCACGACCCTCGCCTGTCTTTGACCTCTTCCCTAGCTTGTTCCATTTACCTGCTTTGCCTCGTTCTGGTTTTTGACCCACGCCTTCTCTCCGACTCTGTCTCCTGCCTCGCCCTCCTTGGGTAACGTCACATCTAATAAGACTTTTAAAGGTGCTTTACAGTGTTTGGTGTCATCACGGGTCCTTCTAGTTCAGTTCATGACAGTTTTATTCTTGATATTTTCAATACCTTCCAGAATGAGCCGTTTCAGGGCTCTGTCACTTTAAGAAAGCTAGCTGGAGCTGGCCACGCCTACCCCTCCCCTGATTTGCTGCTATAAACTGAGAAGCTCTGATATCCGAGAGAGGCTCGGAGTAGATCTGCTGCTAATTTCCCCGTTTGTGACATCACAAACAGGGAATTTTGGAAAAGGCTTGTTCCAGGCACATAATTCCTAAATCCAAACAACAAAAAACAGATGGACGGGTTTTTACTCAATTTGTCATGCAGAAGACCCCTCATGGCAGGATAAAAGGATGCAAAAGGGGAGTTCTGCATATCATATCTCCTTGAAATAATTATCTGTAAAAATCCTCTCAAAGTGGTCACAAAAGGTGCCTGGAGCTCTGCATGTGTCAAAGAAACGGGCGCAATTTACCCTTTATTGTATAAAGCACAAAAACAACAACTGCGGTCTGTGAAAAGGTAAAATATCTTGGACACTTTATCACAGCCAATATGAACGACGATGACATTTACAGGCAGTGCTGCAAGCTATATGTGCAAGCAAACACCACTGCATGGAAAAGTAGCTGTTGTTCCACACCTGTTAAAGTGGCATTACTTAAAGCATACTGCACACCACTATACACTGCACATCTGTGGTCATTCTATAAAAAGTCTAGCTTGCACAGGTTGCAAGTAGCATACAATGATGCAATGAGAATCCTCCTCAAAACTCCTAGGGGAGGAAGTGCTAGTCAAATGTTTGCTTCTGTGAGAGTGTGCACATTTAAGGCACTTTTAACCCTCCCACTGTTCTAATGGGTGCGACCCCGTGAGGAAAGTTGTCCATGTAGCAGGATTGATGGTTTATCCCTTGAGGTCCAGGTGGCAGGGGTGAGGTGGTGCTCACTCATTAGGACAGTAGGATGACAGCAGTAGCTCAACAGGTTGAGCGGGTTGTCCAGTAATCGGAAGGTTGCAGGTTCGATCCCGGCTCCGGACAGAGAATTCTGCTGTTGTGTCCTTGGGCAAGACACTAAACCAAGGTGGTGGTCAGAGGGACCGGTGGCGCCTGTGCTCGGCAGCCTCGCCTCTGTCAGTGCGCCCCAGGGCAGCTGTGGCTACATCATGGCTCATCAACATCAGTGTGTGAATGGATGAATGATACACTGTAGTGTAAAGCACTTTGGAGTCCTTACTCTGAGAGGCGCTATACAAGTGCGGGTCATTTATCATTTATGAATTTTAATGTTCGAGTTTATGAGACGAATGGAAGATTATTCCAATAGTATCATAGTTACACTCTCAAATCCCACGGTGAGCTGCTCTCGTTATGTGTCTAGGCTGAGAAATCACTGGCTAAAATGTTTGCGTAGATTTGTTGTCCCTTACTCCCGCTGCAGTTATATCCTGTGATTTTATATAGGATCATATTGGTATTAACGTTAATTGGTATCTTTTCTTTTCTTGTGTTTTTTTTCTTTGTATTGTTTCTTTTATCTTTGTTATTTTCTTTTAAAATTGACTTTAAGTCTGGCAATAAACTATATATATATATATATATGTATATATATATATATATATATATATATATATATATATATATATATATATATACATATATAACTTGTTAACAAGCCTCTGCTATGGTCTCTTAAGTGTTACTACCTACGGTTTAGGATCGAAGCATCCAATCCTCTAGGTCACACTTGCAAAGAGCTAAAGCTAAACAAATGACCTGTTGAGTCCTAAATGAGGACACATTTGGACAGAGATGTGCATGCACAGCTACCTTTGCCACTTAGCTTTGTCACTGTGCTGGAGGATCATGTAGTCAAGCTTCAGGTTTTTCAGGATGTATTGCTTCTCTCTGATGTCTTCATTGATGAGGTACGCTTCCGTGAGTTGCTGTGATGACATGATCAAAATACAAATATCAGATAATAACATCAACGTCTGTGTGAAAACTGGGGTTTCTTCCCATAATTTTTACATTAATAGTTGAACATGGAACAAACACTCTGGCGACCTCTGCTGTTCAGAGGTGGTTTTGCAACAACATGACTAATTTAAACAGCTGATGGGATGTTGGTTCACTGCTGACACGTTCCAGCACCATGTTCAGAGACAAATCGTACGAGATAAGGACCAATTTATACCAATACGTTTATTTTACAACAGTATTTATCGCTAGAACATCTTCTGGGCTCAGAATCAGCTGCTAAACTTGTCAAGTCCGGCATTTTACACAGTCCCACCCTCGCCTTGCTGAGCAGACCTTTTTGGTGCAATAGTGCCCTCTAGTGGCTGGTAGATGTAAACATAAACCCAGTGTCGTGTCCGACAAAATAAAAGAGTATTTATTTTTTTAAATATAGCTTTTAATGGAGAAACTGCACATTCCTTCTGCACCTCTAAACGCCCTGTGGAGGTATTATTTTGTAATATAGATTTTTATTAAAATGTTCAATATTCTAACTTTAAGTCTACATTTACACGTTGTTATAGAAACACGGTCTGTGCCAGTGGTTTTGAATTGTACAATAAATTATTCACCTTAATTTCACCGAAGTCCAAAAAGTCTGTCGTGTCCTCCAAGCCATTCTCTAGCAGTTGGACATCAGCTTCTGCCAGATTATTCTGCATTTGAACGAAACACGTTGACATCCAGATGTTAATGAAAGTTGGAGATTTAACCACAAATATATAATTATTTCTAAGATTAGATTTGCGTCCATTGTCACCCCTGGGATCAGGACACTCTGTCTCATGGCCTGTAAACCAGTTTGGACCTCCTTCTGATGAGCGAGGAGCTTCTGCATCTCAGCACTCATTTCCTTTCTCTGTTCCAGAGCCTCGTTTTTCATCTGGACCTGCTCATTTTAATAAAAAAAAGATTAAAAATAATAAAAATCAAGAGTTGGTTTTTTTTAGCAACATAGCTGTTATTTTAAATAAAATCTAATCAAAATAGGCAACACTTTACAATAAGGTATGCAAATTTGTGCTTCTTTACGAGGGAACGACTTAGGGGGTAATGAGTAATGACGCAGGGAAGAATAGGTAGTAAACCAGTAGTTACTGGTGAAAACGCTCATCAGTCTTGTTTCAGGGTCTAATACTTACTGGTAAACACCCGGCAGTCTTATTCAGAGATTAATAGGTAGTTATATATGTGTGCTTTGTTACTAGGGAGCGACTTAAAGGGAACTGAATAATGAAGCAGGGAAGAATAGGTAGTTTTAGAGTGTTTTTATTCAATTCAATTCAATTCAAAAATACTTTATTAATCCCAGAGGGAAACTGATTGCTGTAGTAGCTCAGAATAATAATAATAATCAAGTCATCAAAGAGTTGTTGTATATTACAATGGCTGTTGGCAGGAAGGATCTCCAGTAGCGGTCAGTGTTGCAGCCAAGCTGAAGAAGCCTCTGACTGAAGACACTCTTCCGTTGTCGGACAGTCTTGTGAAGAGAATGCTCAGGGTTGTCCATCATTTTCTTGATTCTCTGGAGAATCCTTCTCTGCATGATCTCCTCCAGTGGTTCCACAGTCGTCCCCAGAACAGAACCAGCCTTTTTTATTAGGCTGTTGAGCCTTTTCAGGTCCCTGCTTCTGATGCTGCTACCCCAACAGACGATGGCTGAAGAGATTACACTCTCAACAGCAGACTTGTCGAAGATCTGCAGCATCTTGCTACAGACATTGAAGGACCTAAGCGTCCTCGAGAAGTGCAGTCTGCTGTGTCCCTTCTTGTAAACGGCTTCGCTGTTCTTTCTCCAGTCCAGTCTGTTGTCCAGGTGAACTCCAAGGTGTTTGTATTCCTCAACCACCTCCACTTCTTCTCCCATGATGGAAACAGTGTTTGACTCCGCCCTGTTTCTTCTGAAGTCCGGGCTGAAGTTTTACACGTTGATTTCAAAGCTTATAAATGTAAAAGTTAATTTTTGAGTACTTTTCTGATTATTTAAAAAAGTACCCTAAACATTGAACATTTTGTTAGTGATTGATTTGAGCCGGGTAACACTGTAACCTGCAGGATTTTGGTCACCCATCCCTGGAATATTACCACACATAAGATGAAAGAAAATGATGTGTGAGCTCAATGTCTTTCTGGTAAATGGCCGTGTAACAACATATAAGTAATGGTTAAGTATTGTGTAACTACAGATTAGTTCCTGAGTAGGTACTCGGGAGGAGGCTTCACTTTCCATCATCTCGAGACGGACGGATGCTGACGATGGACGATGAAGTGACAGACGGGCGTTACGGCTACCAGCCTGGCCAGTGAGATCCAGGTGCTGCAGTGGATCCAATCTAGTTCCTGTCGCTATAAGGTATTTGTGGGGACTCGAATCTGTGAAATACAGGAGCTGACATCTCCTGAACAGTGGCGATATGTGACCTCTGAGCTCAATCCTGCTGATGACATCACCAGAGGGAAACATCTCGCTGACCTAACAGTCCCCAATCGTTGGTCACATGGTCCACCTTTCCTATTACAAGCCGCTGACACTTGGCCTAAGCTGCCAACAGAGTTTCCAGCATGCAATGAAGCAGAGCTCAGGAGGACTGCATTCTGTGGGCACGCTTCTGTATCCCCAACCTTGCCGGATCCAACGCAGTATGCCTCACTAGATAAGCTGATTGCTGCTACGTACCGGACCCTACACGGGGCGGCCGACACTCCTATTACAGCCGCGGAGTGACTGGAAACCAGCTCAGACCGACAGCTTCGCAGAGGAGACCAAAGCCCTCCAGACCAGTCGCCCAGTCCGCTCAGACAGCCGTCTTAGCATGCTGTCCCCTGAATATGACAGTCTTACTGGTCTCATCAGAGTTGGAGGCCGCCTTCATCAAGCCGCAGACTTAGATCCGGACAGTATTCATCCCATCGTATTAGCAGCTGAACATCCCCTGACCAAGCTCATCATAAGGACTTATGATGACCAGCTCCTTCACCCAGGTGCAGAGAGGGTATTTGCGGAGATACGGCGCACCTATTGGATTCTCAGAGGACGTCAAGCCATTAAGAAACACCAGCACCAGTGTGTGGACTGTAGGAGATGGCGCGCCACACCTTCTACACCCAAGATGGCTGATTTACCTTCCTCGCGGATGAGACTCTATAAACCCCCGCTCTGGTCAACAGGCGTAGACTGTTTCGGGCCATACACGATAAAGATAGGTCGTAGAAGAGAGAAACGCTGGGGAATTATCTACAAGTGTCTTACAATTAGATGTGTGCATCTCGATCTCCTCCCTATTCTTGACACCGATTCCTTCCTTATGTCATTACGCAGATTTATCGCACGCAGAGGAAAGCCATACGAGATGTGGTCTGATCAAGGAACCAATTTCAGAGGTGGTCATAGAGAACTCCAAGCAGCATTTGAAAACATGGAGCCTGACCTCAAGCAGCAACTAGCCACACAGGCTATCAACTTCTGCTTCAATCCCCCACACTCGCCTCATTTCGGAGGAGCCTGGGAAAGGGAAATCAGAGCAGTGAAGTCAGCTCTGCAAGTAGTCCTGAAGGACCAAGTTGTGGCAGAAGAAGTCCTACTCACAGCTCTCATAGAGGTTGAGGGCATTTTGAACTCAAAACCGCTTGGCTATGCATCGGCTGACATAGCCGACCCAGATCCCATCACACCAAGTCTTCTCTTGATGGGGCGGCGTGATTCGGCACTACCCCAGGCAGTCTACGGCCCCTCAGGCACTCTTTCGACCAGAAGATGGATTCACAGCCAGGTCATCAGTGACCACTTCTGGAAGCGGTTCATACAGAACTACCTCCCAGGACTGCAACTCCGACAGAAATGGAGGAAGTCCACTGACAACATGACCGTGGGACAAGCTGTTATGATTGTAGACTCTAATCTGCCTAGAGGCCTCTGGCCTGTGGGTACCATTTCCCAAGTTTTCCCAGGGACTGATGGTGTTGTTTGAGCTGCCAAAGTCAAGGTCAAAGACAGTCTCTATGTTCGCCCGGTGACTAACTAAGCTATGACTTTAGCATGTGTGTATTTGTATCCATACAAATACAGGGGCGGCTGTTAAAAGTCCGCTTTCCAGAGGAATAATGTTTGTGAACACAAGCTGTATGTTAAAAGTCTGCTTGGTCACCGTTTAGACTACATTACCCATGATGCACCTCGGTATCTGTACTTCCCGTTGGGAACGTGTTTAGCGCAGTTCAGCACAGCTGAAAGGTGTTGGATGATCAGCGTTTTTCTCGTGCGTTCCTGTGTGTTACCCTTGGTGTGCGTGTTTATCATGTGAGTATTATAAGACGAGAGTGATGCTTATGTGACTTTATCTGTGAGTTGCTCTGTGTAAATCACTAAGTAAGAAGCTAGTCCTGTTGCTAAGCTGCAGGTTTTGTTGGCCTACTTCAGGCAGCCTTGGTTGCAGCATTCCATATACGACTCACTGTCAAGTATGGTGGTTGGAGGTGGATGGGACTATTTACTGTGTTTATTATCTGACCTGTAGAGATCCTGTTTGCTAATGCATATACCAACAACAAATTCATGTATGGTCTTAGGGTGGCATCTAGTGGCCATGAGGTTTATAGCAGATCATATAACTTCATGTTGGAAACCCACATAAGCGGTACACTGCTATTCATACGAATGTTTGTTCTTTCTGTTAACAGATTACCACACCCACATACTCCTGCACACTCACACTCCCTTTACCTGCATTCATAGATGGGAATGCAGTTGCCTCACCACTAATGTTGTACAGCCTGTTGATGTCATCTGCTACCTCCTTAATAAACTACTTGGACTACATCACTGTGGAGTGCCAATCCTTCTGACCGAGGACAATTCAGTTGAAGCGTGATCGGCAATCAGTGCAAATATTCAGTACAAACACCTTCGTTTTAAGATTAGTTAACTTTAAGGTTAACGCTGAATTATGAGCTTTTAAAGGGTGAAGCTCTTGGATGATGCAGAGGGATCTTTTGATGTTGTTTGTTGATTAAAAAGGTTAACTTGGTTTGCTGCAATTTTATTGACTCCGGTTTTAAACACCTTCTGTGTTGGTAAAACTTTTACAATAAGTTTTAACCAGGTGTTTTTATAGTTGGTAAATGGTGTAATTTTAACCTTTTGAGAGTTTTTGTTTGTGTTGCATTATCTTTATAACGCTTGCCATCTGTTTGCTCTCGTTTTTAGAACCTTTTACAACAATTAAAACCATTTTAACTCCACTGTCATGTTTCTTATGTTACCCCTCCTTCGCATTTTAACATCTCCTGTCGGGGACGTAACAACGGGCGAAATCGAGATGAAACAGTGATGTTAAATCACTGTGATGTTGCAAATTATCTGCATCCTTCGCAAAGTTTACAAAAGAGAGTCCACAGGCACTACATTCATCTGGGATTCGTTCCTTATTACGTTCATAGATAACTACCTATTAGACCCTGAAACAAGACTGATGAGCGTTTTCACCAGTAACTACTGGTTAACTACCTATTCTTCCCTGCTTCATTACTCATTACCCACTAAGTCATTCCCAAGTAACAAAGCACAATTTTGCGTACCTTATTGTAAACTGTTACCTAAAAATACTATTTATATTCTTGAGACCTAAGCTTGCATTTAGTTTTGGAGTGTAGTTTTTATTTGAGGGGGAAAAAACTATTTCTAAATATTTAGTATCTCAAAGTTATAAAGTAAAGTTGAAACATTTCTTAAAATAACTACTAATAAAACAGAATAAAGTTGTTCAGGGTAGGCTGCATGTGACCTCTTTGCTTTTGGCAGCAGCCAAATCCAAGCAGCGCTGCTTTTTTGCTTTCTCCAGTTCCATCAGTCCGAGCTGGCGTTCCCTTTGCTTCAGCTCCTTATCCAAAGCTGAACTTTTCTTCACCCAAAAAAAGAAAGAAAAAGTTTAGATGAGGCAGCAGCAGCTCAGGAAGTAGCTCGGGTTGCTTCGTGATCAGGATTGCAGGGCAAATCCCAGCTACCGCCAGGTTATCCCCTGTTGTGTCCTCCTCCACCTGGTGGGTGTCAGATGGCGCTAAATGGCAGGCTTGCCTCTGTCAGACCGCCCCAGGGCAGCTGTGGCTACACAGTAGCTTACCATCACCGGCAGTGTGTGAACGTGAGTGTGTGAATAAAGAAAAGCACTTTGGGTGCCCAGAAAAGAGCTATATAAATCTAATCCATTATTATTATTATTATTATTGTATAGTAGCCAAAACAAACAACTAGTTGACCAGTATTTTGCTTGGCCAATATTGTTTGTATTTATTGGCTTTGGCCAATGTACCTTTTGGTGGAGCAGATTTAGAGCACGTCCGTGGGCAGTCTGGTGTTGCTGCCAATTTTTATTTAAAGGTGCAATTTGTAAGAATGGCATCCTGTGTGTGTGTGTGTGTGTGTGTGTGTGTGTGTGTGTGTGTGTGTGTGTGTGTGTGTGTGTGTATACATATGTATATGTGTGTGTATGTGTATGCATATATCTATAAAAATGTGTGTGTGTAAATGTACATGTGTGAGGGTATACATGTTCTTATGTGTTTTTTATGGGATTTTTTTTAATTCACATTTATTGTAGTTGTTGTATGTTTTAGAGAGCGAACATCTACCGAAGCTAAATTCCTTGTAAATGTAATTTTACTTGGCCAATAAATCTGAAATCTGAAATGTGGGTAGTTCAGTTCATTTTTAAGCCAAAAAAATGACTTTGTCACTGCTTTTTTGCGAGTTTCGTGGCTGTCACAAGTTACGGATCAGCACAAGAAGATTCTAGATGACAAGTGAAGACAGGTCATACACAGTAAGTTGATAAGTAGATAAATACATTTTCATTTCTGGTGTTAGCACTTTTGGGTGTTTTACGGTAGGGAGCACTTACTACACCTATTAGGGTAGTTTGTCTAGCATTAGGGGAAGTGTGGTTGTTTGCTGTCTTGCTGTTACAGTTCTGAATGACTCATTAAGTAAAGTAAAATGCCACGATGCACTCATTCTTCAATTCACACATTTATTTCACTGTAACATCCAGTTTTTGGTGACTGAAAAAGTAACTTGAAATGTTTTAACAACCGACTATTTGTCTCTAATTCACTGTTAGCATTGTTATTTCAACGTTAGCCTCTAGCCTGCTTCACCCGATATTAGAGTAAAGCAAAAAGATGCCGTGACTTCTTAGTGGTACTAGAAATAATTTATGGGTTGCTCCTGTTCTTTGGTAAATGGTAAATGGCCTGTATTTGATATTGCGCCTTCTAGAGTCCTGGAACCCCCTCAAGGCGCTTTACAACACAATCAGTCATTCACCCATTCACACACACATTCACACACACATTCACACACACATTCACACACTGATGGTGATGAGCTACAAAGTAGCCACAGCTGCCCTGGGGCGCACTGACAGAACGAGGCTGCCGAGCACTGGCGCCACCGTCCCCTCCGACCACCATCAGCAGGCAACGTGGGTTGAGTGATTTGCCCAAGGACACAATGACAGACTGAGCAGGCCTCGAACCTGCAACCTTCTGATTACGGGGCGAGCACTTAACCCCTGTGCCATCGTCGCCCACTTTAAACAACTCTGTAGCTTTTGCTGGTGTTGAATTACAAAAGCGTGTGCTGCTGCGTTAGCTTGGTGCAGATTCAGCAACCTCACAAACTCAGAGTGCAACCAGTAACTACGTCCCTCTTAAGTTTTTTCCAAAAGAAGAAAAACTGCCCCCCCCCCCCCCCCCCCCAGCCTGCTGGGAATTAAACTTGTTTCAGTGTAACCTTCCTTCCAACATGATTAAAACATTAGACTGTGATTATTCACTGTATAATTCTTACATATTGCACCTTTAAATGTATATTAACGCACCCATTCATCAGTAGGTGATCAACAGGCCCATGTAATCCAACCACTGAGTAGGGTGTGTTGGAGCAGGGAAACAACTTAAACATGCTGGAAAGGGACCCTCCAGGACCAGGATGAACACCACTAAGCTATACAGTAAGGATCTAAAAACATAGCACGGCAGAACCTTATCAATGAAAAATTATGGATCGTCTGTGTGTCTCTGTGATGGACTGGAGACAAGTCCAAGGAGTCCCCCACCTGTCGCCTGATGCATACTGGAGTTAGACACCACCTGCAACTCTACTACGGATTTAGTGGCTAAGGAAGTGAATGAGTGAAAGTAAAAGTGTGTTGTTGTTGTCATGTAACATGCATGTGGTGTATCCAACAGCACAACTCACCAAGTTCAGGTTTGCAGAAACTGATCTAGCAACAGCGATGTCTTTTCTCTTCTCCTCCGTCCTATCTTTCATCCTCTTCAGGCTGATCTCCAGCTGATGAATTTCCTGATACTAAAATGCAAAGCAGAAAAAGAAACTGTAATTTAGTACAAATCACCTGGTGAAAGCAAAATGGTCTGAACTATTTATCATCCAAGACCATAAAAACATATTTAATTGCATGATATCCAACATGTTTTTGGATTGTTCAGCTGCCTTTGACAACAGATGATTAAATAGATCAGGTCACATTGATGAGGTTATTCTAAATTTAAGACAGTGCAAGTCCATCTGTTTGGGAGTTGTGGTGAGGCAAAAAATCACCTAAGCCTTGTAATGTCCGTGTGAGTGTGCTTACTTGTTTCTCTGTTTCTTCTGTGTTTTTCTCTGAGTGCTGAAGGGCTTTCACTTTCTTTAAACCTTCTAGCTTGTCCTGTCTTTCTTTAACTGCAGCCGTTAAGCGGTTGACCTCGTTGATCAGGGTAAATCGTCTCTGCTTCTCGAGTTCGATCTTCCTCTGAGTGATTCAGGGAAGATATTAATAGTTCAAAAAGGTAAATGATGCAATGGGAGAACTGACGTTTTATGGTGAAAGTGGTTACAGGGTTGCCTGGCAAGCCATCCCACACACACACACACACACACACACACATACAGGTGCTGGCCAGTAAATTAGAATATCATCAAAAGGTTGAAAATATTTCAGTAATTCCATTCAAAACGTGAAACTTGTACATTATATTCATGCAATGCACACAGACCAATGTATTTCCGATGTTTACTACGTTTAATTTTGATATTTATAGGTGACAACCAATGAAAACATCAAATCTGGTATCTCAGAAAATTAGAATATTCTAAAGGCCAATGAAAAAATGTTTGTTTCTCTAATGTTGGCCAACTGAAAAGAATGAACATGAAAAGAATGTGCATGTATAGCACTCAATACTTAGTCGGGGCTCCTTTTGCCTCAATAACTGCAGTAATGCGGCGTGGCATGGACTCGATCAGTCTGTGGCACTGCTCAGGTGTTATGAGAGCCCAGGTTGCTCTGATAGTCGTCTTCAGCTCCTCTGCATTGTTGGGTCTAGCGTATTGCATCCTCCGCTTCACAATACCCCATAGATTTTCTATGGGGTTAAGGTCAGGCGAGTTTGCTGGCCAATCAAGGACAGGGATACCATGGTCCTTGAACCAGGTGCTGGTGGTTTTGGCACTGTGTGCAGGTGCCAAGTCCTGTTGAAAGATGAAGTCTGCATCCCCATAAAGTTGGTCAGCAGCAGGAAGCATGAAGTGCTCTAAAACTTCCTGGTAGACGGCTGCATTGACCCTGGACCTCAGGAAACAGAGTGGGCCAACACCGGCAGATGACATGGCACCCCACACCATCACTGACGGTGGAAACTTTACACTGGACCTCATGCAACGTGGATTCTGTGCTTCTCCGCTCTTCCTCCAGACTCTGGGTCCTTGATTTCCAAAGGAAATGCAGAACTTGCTTTCATCAGAAAACATAACTTTGGACCACTCAGCATCAGTCCAGTCCTTTTTGTCCTTGGCCCAGGCGAGACGCTTCTTGCGCTGTTTCTTGTTCAAGAGTGGCTTGACACACGGAATGCGACACCTGAATCCCATGTCTTTCATGAGTCTCCTCGTGGTGGTTCTTGAAGCGCTGACTCCAGCTGCAGTCCACTCTTTGTGGATCTCCCCCACATTTTTGAATGGGTTTGTCGTCACAATTCTCTGCAGGGTGCGGTTATCCCTAGAGCTTGTACACTTTTTTCTACCACATTTTTTCCGTCCCTTCGCCTGTCTGTTAATGTGCTTGGACACAGAGCTCTGCGAACAGCCAGCTTCTTTAGCAATCACCTTTTGTGTCTTGCCCTCCTTGTGCAAGGTGTCAATGATTGTCTTTTGGACAGCTGTTAAGTCAGAAGTCTTCCCCATGATTGTGGTGCCTTCAAAACAAGACTGAGGGACCTTTTAAAGGCCTTTGCAGGTGTTTTGAGTAAATCAGCTGATTAGAGTGGCAGCAGGTGTCTTCTATATTCAGCCTTTTCAGAATATTCTAATTTTTTGAGATACCAAATTTGGAGTTTTCATTAGTTGTCACTTATGAATATCAAATTTAAATGTAATGAACATTGGAAATACATTGGTCTGTGTGCATTGCATGAATATAATGTACAAGTTTCACGTTTTGAATGGAATTACTGAAATATTTTCAACCTTTTGATGATATTCTAATTTACTGGCCAGCACCTGTATGTACTATGTATGGAAATGTAGATCTGCACAGTACAATCATATTGCTGCTGCAGCGGTTGGACTAGCTAGTTTGAGCTGACCTCCAAAGAAAGTCCTTGTTGGTTTGTCTCAACCTGCGCTGCGGCTGCATTTTGCTCTCCACCATGCTCTGGAAAAGAAACAGAAAACAGATTGATAGTCTTAAGTTCTGATCTTGACTATGCACTAGAGTTGCTCCCCTGACTCCTGACTGAACCTAGTGAAGAAGTTGATTACAAAACAAGACAATAAATTTGCTCCCATTCTTTTAAAATAAATTAAATATGACAACATTTTTAAGGGGTCTGTTAATGTTTTTAAACTGTTATGGGAATTTGGAGTCATTTTAATTCTGTAAAGCACTTTGAGTAGCACTTTGCTTGAAAAGCGCTTTATGAATAAAATCTTATTGATTGATTGATTGATTGGTTGATTGATTGGTTGGGTGATTGATTGATTATTGATTGATTGATTGATTGATTGATTGATTGATTGATTGATTGATTGACTAAAGTTTAATAAGCTCAAACTAATTTCCAAAACCTTCTCTTGGTGAACTAAAACAAATGAAAAACATTTGATCTGAATGGCAGTTTGAACTGAAATGCTACCACATAGCCTATGAGAGCATACCTTGTAAAACACTTTCTAATTTTTAAAAATAAAAGTAAATGGAGTAACTTTGGGTTTACAATGAAATAGTCGTGTAGAGAAAATGATTATATATATATATATATATATATATATATATATATATATATATATATATATATATATAGTAGCTAGTTGATCAAAAGGCTAACTAGCTAAAATACAAACTAGCTGAATGCTAGCTAGCTAGGCTATGTTTCTAACACACACCTTTAGGCTTGGGTTGTCTCAATTTTGTAGCTTTTCTCGAAGATTTCATTTTCTCTTTTTCAGAAAAGAACTATTGTTCAAACTAGCAGTAAAATATGTTTCTGCTGAAACGCTGAAATCGTTTTTAGTGGCAAAACTACTGTTTTAACTGATTATTGTTGCTATGGTTCCCAACTGTTATTGTAACCGAGCATTCCAGAAAGAGACGGGAGGGATTGTGGTTGTCTGTATTTGAACTAACATGGGTCAGGGCTCTCCAAACGTTACAATCCAGTGTCATTTCCCCCCTCAGTCTATCAAAAATAAAATATTTTTAGAGCTGCAGCTGTTAGGACCTTTTGAAAAGAGACAATTTATCATTTTAATTTCTACAGAGGAGGATAAGGCCGCTGTAAAAGATGTTCTCCCTTTTTCTGAGATTTCTGACAATAATGTGAGAATTCTAAGAAAAAAAGAGAGAAATCTGGGATTAAAATCAAGACTCAAATTTTTTTTCTTATATTAGAATTGTTTTTTTGAAAACCCACCCTTTTTCCTGTTTTTATGTTTTAAAACTTCACTTTCTTTCCATGAGATGTTGATATTTGTGAAAAATAATGAAAAAGTGTAAATTCGTTATGGGAATTCATTGCAATTATTCCAAGAAAAAATTCAAAGGCTGCTTAAATCTGCAACTTTTAAGCTATTTTTATAAATTAAAAACATAATTTTAACCACAGTTATTAACTCATTCACTGCCAATGGCGATTAAAGTCGTCATTTGCATTTTTTCACTGTGTGGGTGTCAGAATGAGCCCCCGCACCGTGAGAACAAACATCTTAGCTTTAAAGCCGACCTTCATCTGCATACGTCACATGTCACGTGATCAGGAAGCAGAACATCCATGTGTTAGGAGATCGTTTTGGGCCGCTGCTGTAAAAAAAAAGTGCGGCGCGAACCGGAAAAGCTTCTGCCGATCACAATTCAACAACGGATTATGAAAGAACGGATAAGGCTCGAAATGCGCAGATTCTTCCTGATGTAAGAGGTGAGTCTCCACTTCGTTTTGGTTGTTTTGGCATTGACATCATCCTAGCACGCAACGTTCTGTCACTCTTAAAAAAACAGTAAAAATGGTGAGAAACGCTGGCAGCGAATGAGTTATGGCAACTCAACTCTGTCTCCTTTCCCAGCCTGGGCGGGACTGCGGGAAGGCCGCTGAAACGTTCCAGGGTCACTGCAACCCTCCAACCCTCAATGCTCCTCCCCCTATCCACACTGAGGTGACATGCGCTGCTTATCGTGGCTGCAGGAACTGAAGTGGGGATAGTCCCAACCCACGTATTTCTGTGCACTTTTAACACACATGCACAAGCATGTGCACGTGAAGGCCTTCAAACTGAACTTCTTCATTCAACAAACAGAAGGTGTGAGAGTTTAGCAGCAGCATCTATGACATCAACTGCATCCATGTCTCCTCTGTTGCTGTTTCCTTTAAAGAGCAAGTCACCCCCCTACCAGATTCATGCTAAACACCCACTTCCTGTTTGAAAAATGCTGTTGCCTAGCAGACCAAGAGGGCAGAGCCACTAACAAATACACACACACACACACAGGCTCACAACAACATTGTGACATCATATGGTACCAGCTAACATTCTAGGGTACCTCTTAGCCAATAGCGATGGCAGATTTAAATTCAAACGCAGTGCAGTTTTTACCTGACAACGGCACAACACTGACAGTTTTAGGCAGAAAATTAAAATTTTAACTGAAATGCACTTAAGTGCTAAACTATTGACTACACGTGCCTGCAGCACAATTAGACACACATTTATATAGTTTATCAGGGGAAAAAAATTGATTTGGAGGTGCCTTGCTCTTTAAACATCTGCTCTTCTGTCCATATTTGGACTTTCATGGTCTTTTCTTGTCTTCTCTACCCCCTGTCCTTCTGTCCCCCTCCACTAAAGGCCCATCCAAAAATGTGTTGTTGATCTTAAATCACTGACGGAAAAAGGTTCTCGCCAAGTCCCTGAAACCACGCCAAGCTCTCTGCTGTGACACGTTTTTGTCAAAGAGACAGGATATTAGCGATGACGCCTGCTATTTCCTTTCTGTGACACATTTTCTTATCTCAGATGAAGAATAAGCTTGTAAACGTTGCATCTTTGCAGGAGCAGAACGGGCAACATTAGGAGCAGCTGAGTTGATTATAGGGAGTTCAGTTCATGGTGTGTAAAAAAGCAGGAGGAGGGCTAGTTGTAAACACCGTGAGCAGCCTGAGCTCACGTCTGAAACCTTGTCAGAGAAACGAGGGTAGAGAGGAGGGACTGGAAAAGGGTAGAAAGGGTGGACTGATGCTTTGACCTAGGGGAAACAAGCCATTGTGATGTTTTACCTGTGGCTCTTTGATTCCTTTTGGAAGGTTTGGGGTGAAACGTGGTGACAGGTATAAAAAAAAGGAGAAAAGAGGGAAATTAAGAGTCCATAGAAAGTTATGAAGAGGAGGGGGAGGGGACTTTTGGAGGATCCTTCAAGAATTTGCCTTTTAAGGGGTACAGTCTCACTCTTCCAAGCCTTGTGAGCTCTTGCATAGCCGCCAGATCACTTAAGCCAGAAGAAATAAACAACAGCAAAGAGCCCATTAGAACCAAAATACAATCCTGTCTGGGATTAAAACCAACTTTTTGACCTGTATGCTTTCATAATCCCTCTTCTAACATGCAGGTGTGGATTAAGAGGTGAAAAGGGGGACTTTCTACCCCTGTAACTAAGAGCTCTGCAGCAGCGTAAGACCAGAGAAGTCTCCGTTTGTCACTCCGTCCTGAATCACCGGTTTGCTCAGCATCCTAACATCACTGTTGTGCTTCTTCTTACTTGTTTTCTACACAATACCGACAATGTGCCGTCACCGGGGCTAAGGAGTATCTGGGAGCAGGAAAAGGAGGGGAGCTGAGGAGGAGAGATGGGTGGGGGTGAGAACAGAGAGGTAATTGTATATGTAAGAGTGAGGCACCCGTGGCAGAAGGGTAGTAGCGGGAGGAGAGGCAGGAAGAGTGAAGGGAGAGACGTGCTCTTGGGATGGGAAACGAAGAAGGAATATGGGAAGCAAAAAGAGAAGAGGAGAGCTTTACAGAACAGCATGAGGAAGAGAGGAATGGCATGTAGAAAAACGTGAAGTAGGTGCTTCAGAAAGTTGTTTTAAGATTCAAAAACAGAAATCCACATGTGAGTGCAGCAGGGCTGGGCAGGAGGTGTTTTTAAGGAGCGTGTTTTCCAGCGAAGGGCAGAGTATCCTTCCCTCCTGTCCCTGTAGACGGGCTGAACGAGAGCCAGGAAAAGGGGGAGGGCCTCCGTCTCCTCCTCTCCAGCTGACAAAAACAGCTACCCAGGAGCGTGCTCCGACAGCAGAGAGGAGAAGGGAGGCCAGACGGACAGAGTCCTGGAGCCGCAGTCTACCTTTATGGGTTGCGTCCTGAGCTCGGACTGGTGCGGGGTAGGAGAGGTGC